TATTATTTATTTACAAGAATCACGCCGTGTTTACTCTTGATGAATCAGACCAATCTTACATTAAATCGATCCAACCAATCAAAATTTCCAATATATTTGTATCTTGAATGCCGTTCACAGTGAAGTAGATGAACTCACGCAATACCAACTGGTAGAACCAACTCGACAGTACATTTACATGGTGTGAGAGGTCATTTTGTAAAAAGCAGTTGTAAAATTTGGGTTTTACGGAATTTCAGGTTCCAAAAGGCAGGCTTTTTTTCATTATGGTATATCTTTTATCGTTAATAGTATCTGTGGTACTATTATGACTTTTCCTTTAAAAGTCAACTGATTCCACAAGATAAATATTGACCGGTGATTCTTGGCTGCTTCTTGAATGGAAGGTGCTGACCAATTACTGGAAGTAGGAAGTTTTTCAAACTGTTCTAATATGCTTTTTAAAAGCCAAAATAGATTGCTTATCTATAGCAAGATCTTTCATGGTTTGCATAAAAAAACCCATTCGCTTTCCGCCCCCAACAACCGCTAGAAATCAGAGTTGCTGCAGTTTGTAAATCAGAAAACTAAACCAAAGAGCATGAGCACAATGTCCGTTTATGGTTGTCAAATATTTTCTCCACATCAGTGTTCAATACATTTTGTGCTAAAAAATAAAGGAGCAAGTTAAGCACCTGAAAACCACATTCGCCCTCAAACAAGGATGCAAAGATGGATGTACAAAATGTGAGCTCCATTTTTAAAGATCACCCTTTCCTAAAACTTTTCTGGGTTTTTTGTGTAGTGTTATGATGTCACGGTTTTCTGCCAAGTTCAAGAGTTTTTTTCATAAAGTTCAGGAGGCGATCCAAATCTTCTTGGGTCGGCGTGCGAGTTTTACTGTGAAAGAAATCGAGAACAAAATAAAAATTAGAAAACAGGTGTAGACACATATAAAAACAAACAAACAAGAAAATGATAGAATAATTTGAGACTGCATTAAAGAAATGTTTGATTGTTCACCCGCACTTCGACTTATTTCAGGTCATGTGCGGCAATACTACTTGAGGAAATGATGATGATGATGATGATGATGATGATGATGATGATGATGATGATGATGAT